CAGTATCTCATTGTGGTTTTGATTTGTATTTCTCTGATGATGAGTGATGTGGAACATTTTTTCATGTGTCTGTTAGCCATAAGAGAGAATCTTTTATTTTATTTTATTTTTTTTTTTAAGATTTTATTTAGTTATTTGACAGAGATCACAAGTAGGCAGAGAGGCAGGCAGAGAGAGAGAGGAAGGGAAGCAGGCTCCCTGCTGAGCAGAGAGCCCGATGTGGGGCTTGATCCCAGGACCCTGAGACCATGACCTGAGCCGAAGGCAGAGGCTCAACCCGCTGAGCCACCCAGGCGCCCCCGTAAGAGAGAATCTTAAGCAGGCTCCACACCCAGTGTGGAGCCCAGTGTGGGGCTTGATCTCACGACCCTGAGATCATGGCCTGACCCAAAATCAAGAGTCAGACACTTAACCAGCTGAGCCACCTGGGTAGGTGCTCCATCGGCTTTCATTTCTTGGCTGCTTTACATTTTATCCATGAGGTCATTTGAAGTGGCCTACACACCCAAAAGCCTTTATTTCTCATTAAGCTACTTTTTCATCACTATCAACATGTTCTTAGAAAAAAAAAATTCTTTGTATTTTGTCAAAATGGGATGGTTCTACAAAGTAATGGAAAGTTTGGATAAAACATCCATCTCTCAGGAGACAGTGACAAAAAATAAGATTGCTTCTGGATATCATAGTGTGTCAAGGTAAATCTAGACTGGAGACTAAGACCATCTATCTTTTTCACTTTAAGTATATGGAGAATAATACAATGGTGAAAAATTTGGCCTTGTCTGCATACAGTCAATAACCTGACTTGCAAAGCTTGGATAACACAGATACTACTTTAAAGGTCAGCTGCAGTTATAATTTCTTATGCCTCTTGGGATCCTAGGAATTCCATATATTCTTTTCTCTTGGGTACTGGTTAATGAGGTTTTATTGTGGCAATGGTTTAAACCTTAGTGTTGATGGACGTTTTCAGTCAGAATAAATGGCAAAAGATTTTTAAAAAAACATTAAATGATGGCAGATACTACTAAACTTTGACTACAGTTTTGCTTCCTATACCAAGCAAGTTTCTCTATTGACTAAATGAGAAGGGTATTCTAGCTAACTTAAGCAGAAAAGGGATTTATTGGAAGGATGTTATATAACTCACAGAATTGATAAGAATCATGGAGAAATAGACTCAGAAAATAGGAAGGAACCAAAGACAGTTGAGAATTGGTTTGTGCTTATGCCAAAGAGAAAGTTTGATTAGAAAGCCCGTTCTGTTTCTATGACTAAGTTGTTCCTGCATCTGTATTACCCCTTCAAGGTTGAAATTACTTTGTGGCTGCATCCCACTGACTACCTAGAGCAGTAGTTCTCTTGTTTCCAGCTTATTCTCTTGGGTCAAACCTTTTTGTAACAATTCTTGTATCACTTGGCATTTGCACTGTTGATTGTGGAAGCAATGGTAGGCAAAAGTTATAGCACCTAGCATGAATTAAGACAGCACATATGTATATATTCTATATATATATATGATACACATATGTGTGTGTGTATTAATTTTGTATATAGTCTAGAGCTCCATCTTTCTCATTTGACCAAATGTCACTGGATATTTTCAGAGCTATTTTACCAGTAAGTTGATAATGTAATGTGAGGATATCATTATGGAATATATTGCCTGGGTGTGAATCCTAACTTCCCCACTTAACTAGCTGTGAGATGCTGGGCAACGTTTAAGTTGTCTAAGCCCCAGTTACTTCTTCTATAAAATGGGGATGATGATACTTACCGCATAGAAAAATTGTGAGGATTAAATAAGTTAATACAAATAAATTATTTAGAACAATGCATGGTTTATGTAAATATTAGGTGAATATTAATTTTCATTATCATTTTGATTATTGTTGGGGAAGAAAAATTTTTCTCTGCCTTTGAAGGTTCTTCTGCTCTAAGTTTTTTTTTATTTTTAAGATTTTATTTATTTATTTGAGAGAAAGAGAGCACAAGCAGGGGGAGTGGCAGAGAAAGAGGGAGAAGCAGGCTCCCTGCTGAGAAGGGAGCCCAGGTGGGTCTTGATCCCAGACCCTGATATGACTTGAACCAAAGGCAGATGTTTAACCGACTGAGCCACACAGGCGCCCTGGAGCTGGTCTGAGAATTAAATTGACATGAGACAGATTGACAGAAGAAAATCAAATTAATTACCTATAGGGAATCCACATAATTATGAGATTCTAAAGACAGCCAGGCAAAATGAGATATATATGTCATCCTGAATTTAGGAGAAAGGGGTAGGAAAACAATTCACAGGAAGACGAAAAAGAGTAAATGTTTGGTAAACAAATGTTAGGCCCTATAGAAACAGTAGGAACAATAAGCTATAGAGAGGACTTTAATCAAAGATCAAAATTGCTTAAGTTCCTCAAGGTCTACTGCCCTGAGTTCATACTTTAACGTGGTTTATCTACAGTGATTGATAGCTCTTCCTGGAGCAAGTCCTTTATTTGAGTTCGCTTAGGCAGTTAGGGGGAAGGTCAGAGTTTCTAATTATGTCTTTTGGGCCTTGATTATTTTTGTTTTTAACTCAAAAATATCTGAATGTCCCAGTGACATATCTGGGGGCAAGTAACTCACTCTGAACCCCCACATTATCTCATTTTCAAATCTGGTCTCTGATAAGGTGGTCACAAGAGAAGGGACCATAGATGTGAATCTGAGCTCTCTGGTTTTTGTAGAGCTGGGTAACTGACTCCTCAGGTTAGGGTATTGACCTGCAAGTATGAACTACTGGTTTTATTTAATTTAATTTTTATTTTTTATTTTTATTTATTTATTTATTTATTTATTTAAAGATTTTATTTATTTATTTGACAGAGAGAGAGATCACAAGTAGACGGAGAGGCAGGCAGAGAGAGAGAGAGAGAGAGGGAAGCAGGCTCCCTGCTGAGCAGAGAGCCCGATGCGGGACTTGATCCCAGGACCCTGAGATCATGACCTGAGCCGAAGGCAGCGGCTTAACCCACTAAGCCACCCAGACGCCCCTTAATTTTTATTTTTTAAAAAGATTTTATTTATTTGAGATAGAGTGAGAGAGAAAGAGTGAGAGAGCACAAGTTGGGAGAGGGGTAATGGGAGGGGGAAAAGCAGGCTCTCCATTGAGCAGGGACCCTGATGTAGGGCTTGATCCCAGGACCGTGGGATTGTGACTTGAGCCAAAGGCAGATGCTCAACCGACTGAATCACCCAGGTGCTCCTGCTACTGGTTTTAGATTTAAAATGTATAATGTGAGCTTTTCCATCACGTTTCCTACTAGTTGTATGTCAGCAGCAGCCAATGTAGAACAAAAATGAACAAATTGCAAACAAATATTCAAGAATAAAACTTGAGAAAAATATATCCTATTTAGTTTGATAGCGATTTTTTTCTTTGTAGACAGGTACAAATAATGGTGATTTTTTGTTGTTGTTGTATATAACAGAAGCTGTAAAATAATATATTTCTTTAAGTAATCTTGTTTAATTAGTGATTATTTGACAAATATTAGGATCACATCTTATTTTGTTAATATCTGAGGGTTTTTTTCCTTAAAAGACTTTTTTTTTCCTAGGGTAGGGCTATGACTTGAGTTTTTAGCTGCAGCTGTATCTGTAATGGGATAAGTTCATAACAAATTTTTGCTGAATAAGTAATATATTTTCATGTGGAGTCACATTTTCTACTCTGCTTGAAAATAATTTTCAAGAGAGTGTGCTTTGTGGTGACTGTGGTTTATGATACTATACTGCATATTTGAAATTGCTAAGAGAATAGGTCTTAAAAGTTGTCATAAGAAAAAAAATTTTGAAACTATGTATGGTGACTGATGTTAACTAGACTTATTGTGATAACTTTGCAATATATGTAAATAGTGAATCATATTGTCCACTTGAAATTAATATAATGTTATATGTCAGTTATATCTCAATTTTAAAAAAGGAGGCTGTTAAAATTCACTAAATACAAAGCAAATTCATGGGGTGTTGCAGGGAGCTGTCACTATATTGTGATGGTGGGTGGGTGTGAGGTGGGATGGGGAAGGAAGAATAAAATGTGCTGGAGAATACATCTCAGACGTGTAGTTAAGTATAGGTGGATAATATAATTGAACCTTTGATTTTTTTTTGCTTTGTTTTAAATGTCCTGCTCTCCTCAAAATCCTATTTTAATAGTATATGGGGCTGGCCAAGCCTCCAGATGCCTATGCTGTTAAAGCTCCCTTTCAAGGGAAACTGTCTTGTCCTTAGGCCTTGCTGTATGGATAGTCCCATTTTGTATTTAGGCATAACCCCTCGCTGTGGCCAAGTGAATACTAGAAAACGAAACCAAGAACAGTGAATTATAGCTTGATAGGAGGAGATCAGCTGGGTTAATCAGATCTTTCCCTGGAGATTTAAAAAAAAAAAATTCAGGTTGTGGAGAGATGGAGACAGTTAACAGTGGGGACAAAAGTTGAAACAGTATATTAGGAAATATCTTGAGGTAAACATGAGGATAAGAAGTGATATGGAGAAGCAAAAATATGAGAAATTAGGAATAGCTATTTAATAGTGGAATGGAAAGAGTCAGATATTTGGAATTAAGCTGTATAATTAAGGAGGAGAGCAATAGAGAAAAGATTGCCTCTTTGAGTAATTGATTCATTCCTTTATTCAGCAAGAATTTATTGAATTACTACTGTTCTACCCCAAGAGTACTGCTCCAGAGAAGAATTAAGTCAGTGGGGCACCTTGCTGGTTGGTAGAGCATGTGCCTTTTGATCTCAGGGTCCTGAGTTAGAGCCCCATGTTGGGTATGGAGCCTGCTTTAAAAAAAAACAAAAAAACAAAAAACAATAACAAAAAGAGTTAAGCCAGTGATTCTCAACTGGCCGTGATTTTTGCCTACCAGAGAATATTTGGCAATGTCTATAGAGACATTTTGGTTGTCATAGCCTGGAAGGGGGAGTGTTATTTGTATTCTAATGAGTAGAGGCCAGGGATGCTGTTAAACACAATGCCCAGAACAATTCTTACCAAAAAAAAAAAAAAAAAAAAAAAAAAAAAAAAAATCTGACTCAAAATGTTAGTAATGCTGAAATTGAGACCTCCTGGGATAAGCCATCATAAGTATGTATTTCACAGAATAATTATTTTCTTGTAGTTAACATTTACCTTTCTTTTCAGAAGTGAGGACGTTTACTGGAGTAAAATGGAGGCCTCAGTAATACTACCCATTCTGAAGAAAAAACTTGCGTTCCTTTCAGGTATGCTTTCTTCTTTAAACTGGAAGTGTTTGATATATAAATTTGTTTAAACTTTTTCCTTTGGTAAGTTCAACAGAAATGCATTTTTCTGTGAAGGTTTCATTTCAGCGATATTTCTGAGACCTCTTTTAATCAGAGTGGATAGCTGTGCGCGAGCCACCTCTGTCACTGTTGGTACTTGGCAGGCCAATATTTACTCTATAATTGATTAAAATGACCTCTGCAAGGTAGATGTCATATCTTTTTATATAAAAATGAAATAATACGGGCCAAGAATAATTGACTAACCAGCACCTAAATAATTGTTTTTGAAATACAGAATTAGTTTTTATGATATCCTGCATCATAGCTTTTGTCTTCCATCTTCCTGTGAGATAGTTTCAGTGCAGTAGGAGTTGTTAGGAAATACCAGTTACATGGTTTTCACTTTTTACTCTTCGAATTGGTTTATACAGGCTTGAATTTTTCTCTGGCTATTAACCTAAAGTGTGTATCAGCTAAGAATCGGAGAGAAGCTGAAAGATACTTTATTAGTTGCAGGGTACTTCAGGTATATTGATTATCTGGAATTAAGGATCATTGAGTAAATTTGCGTATGCTTTAGAATAGGTAATATGGTCTGCCTGTTTAGAGTTACTTGGACTTTTTTTTATCTTGCTTTTTATTTCTTTTTTACTTTAGATCCTATCATAATTATCTTGATCATTATGCTACCAACAATCTTTTTTAAAAAGTATGTTGTATCTCTCTTTGAATTGCTGTGTTTTTCTAGTGCAGATTATATAGGACAAAATAAGATATTGAATTCCACTAGAATTCTTGTTTCCTTATTTAATGTATTTTCTTTTTTCTTTCTTAAGATTTTATTTATTATTTGACAGAGAGAGACACAGTGAGAGAGGGAACAAAAGCAGGGGGAGTGAGAGAGGGAGAAGCATGCTTCCTGCTGAGCAGGGAGCCAGATGGAGGGCTCAATCCTAGTACCCTGGGATCATGACCTGAGCTGAAGGCATATGCTTACTGACAGAGCCACCCAGGCGTCCCTGTATTTGCTTTTTTAAAGAACAACTTCTTTCCTTACCAGTTGATGCTGATGTTTTCTCCATTCTTTTCTGATATTAATGGTGTTACAGGAAACATTCTTATTCATCGTTCATGCACTTTGTACAAGTTTAGCAGTATAAATTCCCATGTAAGTGGAGCTGTTAAAGAGAATTTACATTTAAATTTATGTTAGGTTTTGTCAGATTACGCTCTAAGAGTATTTCAATTTCTCTTTCTCCCACCAGTTTAAGAAAATGCCTTTTTGCCCACACTGTTGCTGTGTAGATATTATTCTTCTGTAATCTTTATCACTGACATATTTTCATCTTTATGACACTTACCTACGTGCAGCATTTCACTCTGTTGGACATATCTACTTTTTAAAAAAAAAAAATTATTAACATATAATGTATTATTAGCCCCAGGGGTACAGGTCTATGAATCGCCAGGTTTACACACTTCACAGCACTCACCATAGCACATACCTTCCTCAGTGTCCATAACCGCACCACCCTTTCCCTACCCCCCTCCCCCCGGCAACCCTCAGTTTGTTTTGTGAGATTAAGAGTCTCTTTTATGGTTTGTGTCCCTCATGATCCCATCTTGTTTCATGTATTCTTTTCCTACCCCCAAATCCCCCACGTTGCCTCTCATCTTCCTCATATCAGGAAGATCGTATGATAATTCTTTCTCTGATTGACGTATTTCGCTAAGCATAATACTCTCTAGTTCCATCCACGTCATTGCAAATGGCAAGATTTCATTTCTTTTGACGGCTGCATGGTATTCCATTGTCATATCTACTTTTTTTTTTTAAGATTTTATTTATTTATTGGACAGAGATCACAAGTAGGCAGCGAGGCTGGCAGAAAGAGAGGGGGAAGCAGGCTCCCCTCTGAGCAGAGAGCCCAGTGCAGGGCTTGATCCCAGGACCTTGAGACCATGGTAGCCGAAGGCAGAGGCTCAACCCACTGAGCCACCCAGGCGCCCCCATATCTACTTTTTTTAAAAAAATATTTATTTATTTAGAGGGTGTGGGTGCGTGTGCACATGTGCAAGGGTGGGGGGAGAGAGTCCTTGAGCAGACTCCCTGCTGAGCATGGAGCCAGTCTCGGGGCTAGATCTCAAGATCCTGAGGTCATGACCTGAGCTGAAACCAAGAGTCAGTTGCTTAACTGACTGAGCCACCAAAGCATCCCAGCCATATCTACCTTGAAGATCTTTTTTCTCTTGGCTTTTTCTTTTACTCTAGTAATTATTTTATTGTTCCTTAGTGAAGGCTGAGGACATGAGGTTAAATGTAGTTCTGTATGTTAGAACTGTCCTCTGAAGACAAATGCACAGTGGGTCAGGATGCTGCAGTACAGATATGAACCTTTTTTGCACATTTAGTTTAATGCAGGCGTAAAGCTTAGCAATTTTTGACTAGCAAATGAAATTTCCCTTAGCCCATACTTCTTGACTTTCTCTATTGACTCTTAATTATATCAACCAATAATTTTTGCCTTTTTTAATAATAGAGAAAAACTTTTCAAACCAAAATCATTTCAGGGATTCAGCTTGAAAACCATGGGTTCAATCCATTTAAAAAAACAAAAAACAAAACAAAACTTGAACCAAAACCATAAGTAGTTGAAGTCACTATTGATTATCTATTAAGTTGAACCATTTAAAATTACATTTATTCATCTTAAACAGACTGGTTGAATGTCATTAATTTATAAGGTTATCCTAATAAAAAGAAGATTATTTGTGGTTGGTCCATCATGAATTGCCCTCATGTCACTCAAAGGATTTGTTTTTTTCACTTTACAGCTTTCAGTTTTTAGTGATAGATTTCTAGAGATCATATAAAATTTTTACCTTTAGTATTTACTGTTTTTTAAGCTTCTGAAATTGCCAGAAATGTCATTTGGGTCAGAGAATGGACATCAGTGTCAAAACTAGTCACATGGGGAATTTTCACAGAAGATATGCGTGTATAAAAGTATTAGTTAGATTTTAATGCCTATGGAAGATTGGAGAGGGCTTGAGCATCCACAAAATGCAAGTATGTTCCACTGCCTGGCTTTCAGGCTTCCACAGCCAGGTCCCGTGTGCTCTTCACAGCTGGGCAGAACTTTCTTTCTTGCCTCATGAATGCAGAAGTCCTGTCTGACCTCTGTGAGTTCACTCAGATCATTCCTCATCACAGAATATTCTAATACTCTTAACTTGGTTTATAAATTCTGCCCATTTTTCTTAAGTCTTAACTTTTCTACGAAGCTTTTCACCTTTATCACAGCTCTTATCATTTTCTCATTTTCTAAATCCTTTTTTATAATACTTTATATGTATGATACAACACAGTCTAGCAGATAAACTTATATTTCAGACTGTTATTTCTTATGATGTAAAGCCTTTCTTCCTGGGTTGATTGGAAATTTACTTTACTTGTAAATGCTTATAGTGTTAGGTGTACAGTAGGAGCTCGATGAATTGATTACATTAAGAAGCAGCCTAAATGAAGAAAATTAAACAGAATGATAATTGCTGTGTTTAAGTGAAGTTTTCATGGATGAATTTTTTTCTCTTATTCTTTCTAAATTTGGTATAATTTTTCTATACTACTATAAACATTTACAATGTATAAAATAAGCAGCTATTAGATAGTTCTATTTACTTATATCTTAAATACTATTTGTTTTAGTAGCATTGGACCCAAACATATTTATTTAGTGCTTTAATATCTATTACATGTTGTATTTATGTCTTTTTTTTCCTAATAGGAGGAAAGGACAGACGGAGTGGCCTCATTCTGACAATTCCATTATGCCTGGAACAGACAAATATGGACGAGCTGAGTGTTACCTTAGACTACCTACTCAGCATTCCAAGGTGACTCTACAGGTGTTTTTAAAAAAATCTTGATATGTTGTTGTTCACTTACTAATGTTTTCTGTTATTAAGGTGTATGTTGCTATGTCACCTGCTTTTACTAGTGAAATTATAATTAAAAACACTAGAATCAGTCTTTTCTGATACAACACCAAATAAAAGAATTATTGTATGCTTTTAAGGCACTGGATAATGTGATACAGATTTCCAAAATGTATGCACTGTCAACTTTTAAGGAACACAAAGACTGAGCATCTATGTACCATGCAACTTGAGAAAACACAGAGAAGTGAATTTGGTAGAAAGCATCTTTTATTTGAATAGCTATTTCACTATATAGATATAAATCTGTAAGTTTTAATATACTGAGTAAAGGCTATTAGGAGTTCAAAGCATTTTTATTTTAAAAAATGCAAAAAATGTATATGTTTTAATCAAAGATCCTTGGATTTTGTATTTCTTGGGTGAAGACAGACAAACTTTTCTTTTTGCTTGAGCTTCCCCATCACTTCAAAAACAAAAATAAGCTCCCTCCTCAACTTCCTCTTCTATATGTGATATTTGGAGGCTGAAGTCTGACTGCATGTTAGATTCATCTGGAGATTTTTTTTTTTTAAATTCTAATGCTCTTGAGAGACTCTGATTGAATTGTTTCTGGGAAGTCTGCTCATCAGTTTAAAAAAAAAATTGTTTAATGGGGTGCCTGGCTGGCTCAGTTGGTGGAACATATAACTCTGGATCTTGGGATTGTGAGTTCAAGCCCGACATTGGGTGTAGATATTACTTAAGATCTTTAAAAAAAAATTCCTTGGGGCTCCTGGGACCCTCAGTTGATTAAGTATCTGACTCTTGATTTTGGCTTGGGTCATAATCTCAGGGTCCTGGGATCAGGCCCTGTGTCGGGCTCCACGATAAGTATGGAGTCTGGTTGGGATTCTCTTTCTCCCTCTGCACTCCCTCATCCCCCCGCTCATTTTGAATAAAATCTTTTAAAAAAATCCTTTACAAACCTTTAAGCTTCCCAGATAATTCTTATTTACAATCAGATTTGCAAGCCACTGCAATAAAGAATGAGAATGAGGGGGCGCCTGGGTGGCTCAGTGGGTTAAGCCTCTGCCTTTGGCTCAGGTCGTGATCTCAGGATCCTGGGATCGAGCCCCGCATCGGGCTCTCTGCTCAGCAGGGAGCCTGCTTCCTCCTCCTCTCTCTCTGCCTGCCTCTCTGCATACTTGTGACCTCTGTCTGTCAAATAAATAAATAAAATATTACAAAAAAAAAATGAGAATGAGGACAGACTTTTTTGTTTGTAAAATATAGAGGTGGTAAAAGGAACAAAACTCTCATATAATGCTCTTAAGCTCCAGCTAATGAATTTTAAAAAACATTTTAGTCAGAACAGTTCTTTGTATTCTTCCGTATTTGCATCATTGGAATAATAGATTATTTCATTTTAAGCCACTTTGCTGAGAACAGGGTTAAAACTATATTTTAGAACCACTGACTTTAATCATACCTGCTTCCAGTATTGGCCTGTAATTTAATGATTCTCTTGCTGATTGGTTTTTCTGTATTGGGGAAATAGATGTCTTCAAGTGAGAATTTTCAATTTTCTTTTTTTACTTTCTGGAAAGGAAAGTTAGCAGAACTGACAGTGTGTTAGTATTGAATAACCTTCAATAACTCTGGGCTGAATGCTGATTTGTATTATTCACCATTAAATAACAAACTGTTTCTAGGTAAATGATACCAGCTGGAGTACAGCTAACAAATTCTAAAAAAGTATGCATGATTCATAGATGGTTACATGTGGTTAGTGAACTTAGAGGCCATCTGAACCAAATGTCTTATTATGTAGACGAGGGAATTGAGACTCACGTTAGAGTTACTTGCCCAGGATTACACAGCTAATTAGTAGTAGAGCTGGGACTAGAATCTATCATTGCTGACACCAATCCAGAGCTCTTAATATTTCAAATGAATAGAATTTAGTATAGTTGAATCTTAGGTGAGGTGAGGTTAGGTTCTGAAGTTGGAATGTACTATACAAATTACTGATAGTCAAAATTATCCATGAAAAATGCCTAAGTAAGGATTAGAGATTAGAGACTTACAAACTGTTTTTTCATGAACATGCTATTTTCCTAGCATGGACACTGGAGAAATGTTACGTTCCAGAAGGTTACGTTCCAGAAGACACATTCAGCTTGTGATTAAGTTTGTAATAAAAAAGTGCATGCTTACGGGGTGCCTGGGTGGCTCAGTTGGTTAAGTCTCCCTTTGGCTCAGGTCATGATCCCAGGGTCCTGGGCTCTGCTCAGCAGGGAATCTACTTTTCCCTCTACCCCTCCCCTCACTCATGCTCTCTCTCTCTCTCTCTCTCTCTCTTTCTCAAATAAATGAATAAAATCTTAAAAAAAATAAAAAAAAAAAGAAAATGCATGCTTGTATATTTGAGACTCACACTCAGCCCAGCAGGTTGCTCCTATTATAAGGGGCACTGGGTGACTGAGGCAGGCTAAGGGACCAATAGTTTCACTCACCTCTTTTGTCTGTTCATTCTGGGTGTATGAGCAGCAAGTACAATGGAGGGCAAAATAGCGTACGCTATTGAAATTTCTCTTTTTTTTAGATAAATATACATATAATGCTATTCCAGTGTAAATTATGAATCAGTTTCTGCATATCTACACATACCTGCCAGCTAATAGAGAAGATATGAATTGAAGCAAGATGAAAGAACTTATTTTAGCAAGGCAGAATAGATACCTGGATACTTTATTTTTAAAAATTGTTTTGCAAGGTTTTGGCCCTCAAATATTTGTTAATTTGAATTGTTAACCTTCTGTTTTCTTGCAGTAGCCTCCAATAACTTTGGTAGCTCTTTATATCAGTACTTTCTATTTCCTTAGAGCGCTGGAGTGTTTTTGAGCTCTTCTTTGCAACTCTGGAGATTAGTTTATTAGGTGTAACCTGAAAAACTGATTTTTCTCCTTCAAAATGTCTACCACTCAAAAGTGCATTTACTTTATTTTTTATTTTATTTATTTTTTTAGAGCAGGGATGGGGAGAGGGAGAGGGAGAGGAAGAATCTCAAACAGGCTGCACGCACAATGCAGAGCCTGACTCACGACTCAGATCATGACATCAGCTGAAATCAAGAGTTGGACACTTAACTGAATGAGCCACCCAGGTGCCCACCAAACTGCTTTTCAATTATAATTGCCCCAGCATTTTATTGTGAAAAATTTCAAATGCACTGAAAAGGTTAATGGATTGTACAGTAAACACTATTATGCCCCTCACTTAGAAATTTCCAACCAAAATTGGACTTGATCACATATGTATTCATTTATCCATCTCTCTTTCCACCCCGGAACTGTTTTTAAGTTTACCCTGTTAGACTGTGCTCAGCCTGGAAAGTTTTTCATTTTAGTAGTATGTCTTCATTTTATTTGTGGGACCTGCTGTGTCTCCCAGTCTTCTGCTGTTAAAGTTTGACCCCTCCCAAGCTGTGACTGTCTCAGGACAGGTCCAGCAGTGATGCTTGTCTGGTCCCTTCCTTTACAGCACATGCCCCAAAGTGGTCTCTTTTGCAATGAACACGTTAATATTTTGAAGGTAACATTAGATTTTAAAAAGTTTTGTAAAAATGAAAAGAAACTATTCAGCTTCTTATCTATACTTCATACATATTTTATTTGATACATATCTATTTTATTTTTTTAAAATATTTATTTGACAAAGAGATCACAAGTAGGCAGAGAGGCAGGTAGAGAGAGAGGGGGGGGAGAAGCAGGCTCCCCTGCTGAGCAGAGAGCCCGATGCGGGGCTCGATCCTAGGACCCTGGGATCATGACCTGAGCCGAAGGCAGAGGCTTTAACCCACGGAGCCACCCAGGCTCTCCCATATATATTTACTTTAAACAGGTAACCCAGCACATTTGACAATGGAGGCATTTCCTGATTCTTTTTCACACAGATTGCCCCTAAGCTTGCTTTTGTTTCAGATCCTTGATTAGGGGGCTTAGAAGAAAAGAGAGGGTCAGGATACTTGTAGCCTGACCTGAATACTAAGTTTAAGTTCAGGTAACTCTTTTAGATTGTTTTTTATATTTACTTCTGCTTGGTGTCATAGTAGTTTGTAGTCAAATTACAGTTTGTTAGCAGATTGTGAGGTCCTTAAATATTTTGCAGAACAATGTTTTATTTATCTCCATATTCACAACGCCAATAAAAATGTTTTGAAGAGTCAGGTGTTCATTGTATGCAAATTGAAGGAACCAACCAGACTTAACAACAAAGTCATAGAAATGACCTAACATACATTATGAAGGGAAGTAGAACAGCCGTGTTTAGTTCTGTAATTCTTTAAAATGGTGAAATTATTATTTGAATCCTATAACTCATTTTGCAACTGCTAATATTTTTTAAGTGTAATTGACATGCAGCGTTATATTAGTTGCAGGTTTATAACGTAATGATTTGAAAATTCTGTATTCAGTGCTATGATAAATGTGGTCACTACACAACGTTATTACAATATTATTGACTATATTCCTTCTGCTGTACTTTTTATCTCATGACATTTATTTTATAACTGGAAGTTTGTACCTCTTAATCTCCTTCACTTATTTAGCCCATATCCCCACCCACATCTTTCTGGCAACATTGGTTTGTTCTCTGTATTTAATAGTCTTTTTTTTGGTGTTGTTATTGTTATTGTTTGTTCTTTTTTTTTTATTCCACATAGAAGTTAATCATATGGTGTTTGTCATTCTTTTTTGAGTTATTTTACTTAGCATAATAACCTTTCCATGTTGTCCATGGATTGTTGTCAATCTGTGTTGTTGCAAATGGCAAGATTTCATCCTTTTTTTAATGGTTAAGTAATATTTAATTATATATATGTGTGTATATACACACACACACACACACACACACTCACACTCAAACATGCACACACACACACCTTCTTTATCCATTCATCTATCACTGAACAG